AAAGCTGTGCTGCCCCAAGAGATGACCTGGAATCATTTTGCCACTCACTCCCCCCTTATTCAGTCTCCCTTCAGCTACGGGAATTGCTCCTCTGGTTTAAGTTAACCATATGCTTAAATATGTTCCTGAATCAATGTCTAAATTACTGAAGTAAACAGCTGCAGCTGTAAATATTCAACACGGAGCAGACGTTGCTAGAGGATTTACCGTTTCAATCATTTTGCAGTGTAGAAATACATCTTTAAGTAAAAGTAGAAATATATGTACCAAAAAATGTTGCTGAAACAGTTTCTACTCACACTTCTTTTGGCTTGAGACCAAATATGCAAATATCCCTGCAGCAAAGAGGAACTCCGCTATTAGCATGAAAACAAGGCAAATCTAACTGTATGTTAAACCTCACCCTGGATCAGTGACAGAAAGACCTGTCTCTAGAAAACTGCAGAGACCCAACAGTCGTGGCCTAGTATGACTGAAACTGAGACAAGCTTTAGCTCAGAAGAAAATCTTTTTTTGTTTTGGACTTTTGGGGATGGAAACAGAGAATGGTAGGGAAATAGGGGAAAATGGCAGTGGTAACACTCTTTGTTTTGGTTTGTGTCAACATAGTCATGAGTGTCTCTGCTGCTGTTCTTCAACATATGGAAATGTTTTGGCTTTCTAGTCAAACAAGAAGGCAGAGCAGACATCATTAACTTTTTACATCTCTAGTAGTGTGAGAAAACAAATAAAGGAATCCTGTGCATACACTGCTGAACAGCCACCCTACCAGGTCAGTGGGTGGAGGTTGAGCATCCTACACCCTCTTTAAAGTTCTGCCCTACACTGTTCCCTCAGCTTAATGACCTCTGCTTTACCACTGCTGAAGTTGTTTGAGAACTACTAGAAATGACTGCAATCCAGGCCCAAACTCTGAAGGCCAATCCTAAAAAACATGTTTTAAATCACTTCTGCTTAGGACCAGGGGCAAGGGACACAAGCTGAATGCTGGGATATTTCAGTTAGATACCTGGAGAAATTGCCTGTTCCAATGCCCAGAGGGGCATTAGTACCTCCAACCCTGGATGTGTTTGAAACTTGACTGGAGAAGAATCCAAGCAACCTGCTCTAGTGACACTTGCTTGAGTAGGAGGTGGGACCAGATGACCTCTAGAGGTTCCTTCCAAACTAAATTATCCTATGATTCTATAAAATGTTGAAAAATAATCATAAGGTCTGGGCTCTCCTGGAGCTGAAAAGTAGAAGGAAGTTTCACTAGAAGTGATTCAAAAAGTAGGACTCCCAGAGTTTTCCTGGACATAAGAGTGAAGAAGCTTGACCTCAACTAGCACAGGGGGCAGGCATTCCATTTCTGATTGTAGTCACATTGTCATGCATCTGTTGGCAAGTCACATAACTTACTACCTGAGAGCTGAGCACTTACTGCTTCATTTCTAAAGGTAGTGTCTCTGTCCTTATGGAAATCAAACTTTAAAAGTCTCTTTTATAAAAGCAGATGTGTTCATAAGCTTCTCAAAGAACCATTGATAACAATCCAGAAGATTGAAATCTGAAGATTAAAAGAGAATTGTTGGCATAAAAATTTCCTGGTAAACCAGACTGGATAAAACATTGACCTGGAGAGTAGCAGCTATTTTTCTAAAGTATTGTTTTCCCCACAGTTTGAAGGGGGGTAGATAGAACTTATCTGCCAACTGAATAAAGATTCAAATATACTAAAATTTTTATCTGGTTACTTTTGGGTTTGTTTGTTTCCCACTGGGCCGTGTGTGGCTTGGAGACTTTCCAAATTCTTTTCTTAAAAGCTTTTCTAGGCTATTGGCTTAGGATATGGGCAAAAGACTGAAGATCTTCCAGAACACATTCTTTTCTGCTTCTTTCTAGCACACTCTGCACATTGGGGTAGAGGTCAAGGGATAGAGAACTGAGACAACCTGTTCCAGTGCCACACCACACTCACAAATTTCTTCCTAATTCCCAATGTAAACCTGTTCTCTTTTTGTTTGAAGCCATTTCCCCTTATCCTAGTAATGCAATGCTCTAAGAGGAATATACTAGTTTAGCAGAATCTAAGAGGGGGGAAAAATAAATATATATATAATGAATGTATAGGTCATTTCAATGTAAGAATATTTAAAAACACTTATTAGAAAAATACTCTTGCCCACATACCCCATATACTGGGAGACAACAAATTCCAATACATAAGGTTAGGTACCTTAAATTGCTAGAGCAGCAAACTGGGATAGGAAGGGTAACCTATCCCTTTTATGCCACTGATTTCTTTTGTGAACTATGGCAACCTACAAAACCTGTTCTGCTTTTACCCTCCATCTCCAGAACATTTTATGCACAAACACATGGCCAGGGAACTCAGGTTATACAAAGGCAGTAATTTAGCCCCCTAGCCATTTAAATACCTGACCTCTTAATATGTTCGTCAAGATTCAAAAGAGAGGCTGCTTTGCCTTTCCCAGACACTAAAATTAGAAATAGTTAGGCATGAATTTGAGGCACAGGGTGTTAGCCTGGCAGACGACTTCAAGCATATCAGCAAATACATACTGTGGGAGCAGCAACTACACTGACCAATGTTCAGTTTAACATTACCTTTCCTGTATAATATTGATGGGAAGAATTGTCCTTCAGTGTCTTGTTTTATTGGTTCCAGTAATTATGTGAAACATTGTGTGGCCTGTACTGAAGTATGCAGAAATTAGGACACAACTGCCAATCTGTGCTAATTATATTTCTTACAGTTGTATTTTTCCAATTCACGCTGATTTCTTGGGGTCTGTGTTTTAAGATTATTCTTGTAGCTAAACAACACTGGGATGATGCTGAGGCTGGGACAATGCCCAACTACCCAACAGACACAAACAAATTAAATTCACTGTAGGTCTATCTATTATGAGGTTTCAAATAATATCCTGAGAATTGTCTACTGCAAGCTGCTTCTATGCTGGCACTACTTTTGGCACATTTACCTGAACTGAGCTTAAATCCTAACCTGCCTTTTATCTAGATGGGTGACTCAGCTCAGCATTTTTGTTGAAGAAAAAGGAAATCCAATGCCTTCCTGACACACAGAAATGTGCCATCGTGGTGTTCAACTACAAAATCCTTTTGTCTGAAAGGAAGAGCCCAAGTATATTTCAGAAAGATCATATTTTTCATTTGGCTTATGGAACACTTATAAACTAGGACTCCTAACTGTGATTCCCAAACACAAAACAAAGTCAAAGGTTACAGCATATGTTTTTGTTTCAGCTTCTTCAAATTACTTGCAAATGTATTCAAACACAATATGAGGAGATACTTTATTTTATTGAAAATAACAGACTACAGGGTGCTGCAAAAAAGGCTGGGGTACCTCAAGCATAAACATGGAAAGAATACATTGGTTTAGAAACCCATAAATCCTTATTTGAATCTGCCAACCTGAAAGCCAAGTAAAGCCCGAAAAAACTATTTTTCCTAAATGCTATGTCTGATTAAGTCATACTATTAAATGACAGCTGAACTTTAACATTAATATGATATTATTTAAATAACTGCATGATTTTTTTTTACACTAAAATGATGAATGATTTTTGGACAGCTCAATTGACATAAAGCAAGAAACCCCTTTAATGAGATTTGACAAAATGGAGACATATGCAGAATATTTGTTACAGCTCATGTCGCAGAGCCCTTCCTGAGGAGACTTGGGTTTAGTTGTGTCTTTTCTTTCGTTCATTTTTTTTATAGTTTATTTTGATTGTCTACAGGCACTGAACCATCCCTTTCAATTGCCACTTCCTTTCTCCACGGATTTTGAATTTAGCTTGTGTCATTTACATATTATTCTTAATCAGAGAATTTTATATGTTACAGTTTGGAGTTGGAATTGTATGAAATCTGTGGAATGAAGGCATGAGGTTCAGTCATTTTAACCTTTGTCAATGTGGTATACAAGGCACTAACAAAGGTATTTTTCTGAGGAGACTAGTGGAGGGATACAGCTTTATTTATTTCCCAAGCCAAGTGACAAATCAACAACTCTGCTAAAACTTCTCCTCCTTTTTACTTTTTTTTTTTTCTAATAAGCCAAGTGCATTAAGCAAATATGGAACATAAAAGCCCATGGTAAGGGTAATTTCATACTCAACTCTTCAGAGCACTAAACTCCCCTAAAACTGATCTTTCTTAGCACCCAGTAATGCTTATGTGAGGGATACTTTTCTTCTTCAGGAAGCTGAATATATACAGAAATGGACATCACAGAGAAGCTCAGGTGCTGTTTCACTGGGTAAAGAACATACATCCAGAGATGCCACTAACTCAAAAGAATCTGTCTGAGAATGTACTGATGTAAATTCAAGGTGAGAAGTAATCATTGGATAACTCCCTCCCTGCAGTCCCACATAGAATTTTGGGATGCTGCACAGTTTTCCTTTCTGTACCACCTCATTTTGATCCCATGGACAATTTTCATATCACAGGAAGCACGGGAAAAACATGTTAAAACTACAAGGGTTGACACTGTGTCTGCCCCATTTATTTAGGCAGAACTGATAATTTTAACCTTTTCTCTGCATGCAAATTTATGTTGCCCCAAAGCATTTACAAACTTTCTCACTTCAACAGGAAAACAAAACCCTCAAAACCCCCAAATCGCTCAAGAATAAGAAACACAACAGTTCTTATCAAAAAACCTAATTTTACAACACTCATCCAAAACCCCCCAAATAAATACAAAGAAACAAAGATGAGAAATCATTATGCAAGGGCTATCCCTCAGGCTACAGGAAACTCTTCCTGTAGGTGTGACAAAGCCTGCTATCTAACCACGCTGGCTTCACTGCCAGCACTCATCCAAAGATATTCTACATAGCAGCCTGTGTAAAACAACTTTGGTATGTTAGCACAGTGTTGAGGTTGAATTCAAACTAAAAATAAAGGCATGGAAGGAGAGAAGATGAAAAGAAAGAGGAGAAATGTCCCTACCTTGGCCTTACCTTCGCAACATTCCCGTCAAAATCCTGGAACTCTTCCCCAGGTTTGCATCTGTTTCTCTAAGCTGGGGAGAAAAGAGTCTCATTAAAGGTAAAAGGCACACATATTCCCACCTGTACAGAGGTTGATTGACTCAAACTGCTGTTTGAGTCAATCAACTTCAGGTTTAGCCCACAACAAGCTCTCAAAGCCACTGAAGCTCTGAAATTTAAAAATGTTTTGTCTTGTTTTCACGTACATAAAGATGAAACCCAGGGAAGATAAGACATTGAGGCAACAAAGGTGAGTCAGGATAAAGAGCAAAAGCTTTACAAATACAGGGCTGCAGGTAGAAGCTGTATACATTGGTATCCATAAATGCCACTGATATGTGTATGTGTATTGGTTATGTATATTAGTGAAGGCATCAAGGGATGAAGAGACAGCCATGTACTGTTTTCCTGATGCTTTGTGAAAGGAAAACTTATCTTTCTTTCACTGTTTTTCAAAGACAGTAGTTTAAAGAAAAACCAGAAATACGAAATATTTCCTTTTACCATTTCTCTGTAAAAGAAATATGCCTATACTGCCCCTTAAATACAAAACTTGTACTGACCTTACAGCAGCCACCACTGGTGTGGGTGCTCAAATAATTTGTATAGTATACAGTGTATATATATCTACAGAAGGCACAGCTGTATAATATATATTTCTTTCATGTAAGGATCTGACTCACTCAAAAGACCATTTTTGTAGTTTATTAGGACAAAGGAAACCTACAGCTTACAGCTAAATTTAATTAGTTGACTTGTCCTACAGCTCTCAAAAATCTCGCAAAATAGGTAAAAGCACAACTCAGTAAAAAAGTGAAATTGTCAAGATGGGGATGGGGAGTTCTGAAGCAAATGAACTTCATAGTTACTTCTATTGCTCTTTAAAAGGGGTTAAAATATCCCCTCTATTTTTGTGTTTCTTAGTGTCCCACAAAAGGAAATCTAGAAATGAAGAAGACTACAGGAAGAATGCAGTTACTCTCCTATATCCTCTTTTGCCACTGGTAGCTATAGGAGAGACATCTTTTGACATCTTGAAACCAATGGGACATCAAAATCTACTGTAAAAGATAATCTAATGATTCTGAGCATTTCAGTTATGAAATAGCAGGGACCACTGTTTCTAGCATGCCCCAAAACACAGCTGTGTGTACATACTAAAAACTATTCTTCTCGTTATGAAAGCTGAATATTTACCTCTTCATTATCAAATCAGATTGAAAGGATTACCTGACTCATTGACTTCTTACTAAAAAAAACTTTGTTGTAGTAGACAAAATATGTCCTGCGTTATAAATCTATCAAAACAGTAACACTGCCAAGAAGAGTGGCAGTCTTCCAATAACAGATGACCTTCATCACAACAAACCACTATTATATCTTGAATATATGAACGGCAGCAATATTAAAACCAGTGTCTATTCTGGAGCCCAATACTGTAAATATTTGCTACCAGATGTAACGTTTATTACTGAAATCAGTAGTTGCAATCAATGACACAAAACCTTTTTGCATTAATTTCCCCCTTGTTCTTCTAACAGCTATTAAAAAAATACCAAGTAGAAGCTGGGACTGGATAACACCAATCAAGACTTGCTCTTAGCAATATCATATTCAGTGGGAAGGCTTGCACTGACTCTCAGATCTCTGTAATTATGTGCTATGATGGAACAAAGATGAGCATTATATTCCAGGGAGGCCATTCCCTCATTTTTTCCTGATTCATCTAGACAATTCAAGCTCCAGAAAAGCAGTTTAGCCTGGTTTGACACAAGTAACAGGAGAAAAAACGTCACAATAATTTTTAAAAGGCTCATTAAAAAGCCAAGTTCTTATCTATGCTAGAAGGGAATCTGAAGTACAAATGTATGCTTTATATTGGTCTTTTATTATTCATAAAGATGCATTTAACACTTGGGGCTTCTCCTCCCTTTTCACAGAAAAGTAGCTCTCTCCTTTTTACCATTAAATGTTTGATCCTAACTTTCCTCTCTTGCTGCAGGATTCTACCTGACAGCTAGAATCAGTGCTGATAGTTAGGAAGGGGAAGCTGAATCTTAGAGGTTTGACAAACTCCTCTAAGCAAGACGACCTCATGTTTTTATGGTAATAAAAAAACCCACAAAATAAATGAAAGTAACACTAAAAAAGAAACAAACATGTATACACATAGTTGGAAGATCTCTAGCTACCTCCCAAGAGAACACTAAAAAAACACCTTTTCTTCCTGCACTGGCAGAAAAAAAAAACAACATAAAGAGTTTCAAACTGTTTGTTTTTATTGAAAACTGAATTATCTGATTGGAGGTCTTTCATTATTTCTTTACCAAAGAACTGCTGGCATGCAAACCTCTTAAGTGGCATAGGATGGGCACTTCCTTGTTTCACAGAACTGCTGTAGTGAAAACATTTTGAAATAGGCTTTGATATTAGTAATGGCAAACCCATATGGTGTTTAAAAAATAATATTATCAATGCGAAAACAGGAAGATGAACAAGATGCTGACATTTATATCTTTTTTTTTTTTTTTTTGCCTTAGACACATTTTAATTCGAGGCTTCCCTAAAAAATGTTGCATCTTTTGCATCCTGTATAGTACAGTTAACCTATCTGGATGCTAGCAGAGCTTTTATCCCTTCTCTTTGCCTTCAAAGTAAAAAGAAGTTTTACTCTACAGATAGGAAAATTCATGGATGTAAATTTAACCAAACTACTGAGACTCATTTACATTTTGCTCATAACAAAAGCTTTTCACAACACTGAACTGTTAAAGCTGACCATTATGTTCAAGCTGAAAATTGCATTTCAGAAAAAAACTTTATTCCCTGAATTATAACATAATAATGTCATGTGTTTATTGCAAAGATATCATGCATTGATAGAGCATCCTCTACCCCGATCTTTTAAAAAACCTCCAGAAAACAAAAACCTTGCCAAGTTATCCAGGATCATCCCTAACTGTTCATCTGAGTACACAGACAGCTGGGACAGGTCCACTCATGTGACTCCACTGGACAACTTTTCTGAATTCCCTAAAAAAAATATTTTAAGTGGCTTAGGACAAAAACTTGGAATTGGAGCTCTTCCATTATGCTAAGGGGTCTTTTACTGCAGTGTGGTGGGATGCACTTTCCTCGAATACCCTTATTTTTAATCTTGCTCTTTGCAGCTTAGAGGTTATGCCATCAGAGAAATTTGCTCTTCAGGTAGAAAGCATTGAAAAGGAGAAATTATGCTGTGAACCATGCATATATGGAGTGATCAGAACTACATCCCTCTTTCTCGTTCCTGAAGATCTCTAGGATCAGCAGAAAGGGATACCTGGCATTCATCTCCATTGCATAGGTTTTACTTGTCCAGCTAGAAACAGAAAAGACTCAGAAGTCACTGTGGAAGTGAGAAGCGGAGGCGAAATAAGACACCAAGTAGCCTGAACAACATCTGGTAAATACTCAAAATCCTTAGTTACATTTAGTGATTTATTTATATTTAACATTTTAAAGTAGGTGATGCCCAGGACTTCAGAAAGCAACTGGTACAGCTGATAGAAAATGCCTCATTAAAGCTGTCATGTGAAGCTTCACCAATCAAACCTACCCAGGTAAAGAAACTCCCCGTGACAGATAAAGGAGTTAATCTTTAAGTGCCATTGGTCAGTTAGGGACCTGTGGGAGGACCTAGCTTTGGCAAAATTGGACACTTGGGAAAATCTCTGAACAGCAAGTCATGGACAGAAAGGGGCAGGCTCAGCCTTCCCTGGTTCCATGAGCAGAAACCAGAACCAGAGAGGCTGGGTCCTTAGGCTGAAGTTGTACTCATTGAACTGGATGGGCTTCTGAGCATTTCCATGAATTCTGCAGAGTAGACTCATCCCCACGAAGGTCACATGAGCCAAAAATGACACAGATATGTTATTTTGACTGCAGAGACAAAGCAGCAGCATAAGAAACCAGCACCTGCCCTTTCACACAGAACTGCCTAGGGAGGCAGATATTAGCATTCACAGCTACAATTCACAGGTTGATCAACTATCAGTCAGGAGCTCAGTTATGATACTGAACTGTTTCATATGAAGTCCAAGAAGTCACTGAAATGGACACTAAAACAAACCCTTGAAAGGACAGAAAACTGACCTAACTGTGATATTAGTGACAGAAAGTTTGCCTCCCACAGCAGAGTTGGTGACTTCAGTGTGATTCCCCACCAAAAAGACTTTGCTGGGTTGGCCCCATGGAAGACACTTTGTAAGTTCTTCACTGCAGGTGGTGATTATATCTCATCTGAATTATTTTTGCATGCACAAAGAACTTGCTCAATACAATTAAAACACGAGGTCAGCAATCACTTATTATCAAACTTACCCTTTCCCGAGCACGCTGGATCTTCTCTCTGTCATGGCTGAGGTTCTCAAGCATCTCCTGTCCAATCTGCTCTGCATTAAAAAATGAAAATGTAAAGCATGAAAAATACAGCTTGTGACTGTAATGCCTCAAAAAGCCAAGTTAAATTGTAACAAGAGCATTAAATACATTTGGTAGCCTAATCACTCCTCCTAAGTGCAAAGAGGAATTTTAGGTTTTTCAAGTAACATAAAACTGAAGAAGCAAACCAAATCAGAAGCTGTTTCCTTGCAATTTCTTGAGGTTGTCTAGGCCTTGGGAATGGACCTTTGGTCTGTGAAGCAAAGGCAAGAAGACTTTCAGAGCTGCTCTTAGTGCAGGCTGCTCATACTTACCATATACTTCTTAAGCCCCTCCTTGTCTCAGAAAGGAAGGCAGAAAGCCTTTGCTAAACCACCAGTTTTGTATGTCTAAAGACACCGAGAACTCATACAAGAAGAAAACCACTCTCTGTGCCTCTCAGCATTTACCATTAATGCTTAAATCAAAGCTTTTTCAGGCTAAGCCCAGTTACTGGTATCTGCTTTGTTCCATCATGGACTATTTCTGGCAAGTTCAGAGATATGTAATCTCCTGGTGTTTTTAATAGTAGACACAGACATTAATTTATAGTCACCACCGTCTGTTTACATTGGGGTTGTTTGCTTCCACAGCTTACACTGAACCAAAGGTTGCAAAATTATAGTGGAGAGGCCTCAAGATATGGTACAAAGACAACACAAGATGCCAAAACTTTATTCTTCAAACAGCTTCAGTCAAATGCTTCTCTAACACTGAAATATTAGCAGCAAGTATAGAGAAGAGATTTTAATCTTCAAAGCTCTATAGAAACATTAAGAAACCCTCCCTGTATTTCCCTGAAGGAGAAAAATAAGTTTAATCATTCCCATTTTACATGGGGAAAAAGACAGAAGGAGCTGAAGCAGCTGTAGCTTGCCCCAGGGGACACAGCACGTGTGAGACAACCAGCATTTCTGTGCACATTCAGTTAGGTAACTTTACAGGCTTACCAGAGACACTCACCAAAACACTAAAACTACAAAAACATGATTTTGTTTTGTTGTTGTTGTTGTTGGTTGTGCTTGTTTGTTTTTGTTTTTGATTTTTATAAACAACAAAAACCATGTCCTGCTTTTGTTCGGGTAAGTGGTATCCTAAAATGTCATTACTTATGGAGCCTCGAGAAAATGAACCATTGAAAATTCACCATTATGTTAGTAAACACGACTATGATTTATTTTTTCTTTAATAGATGGACTCCATTTTCAGGAAACAATCCAAAGTAGAATAATCTCAAACTTTTAAAGTTTGAGACAAGCAATTTTTTTTTTTTTTTTTTTTTTAAATCCATTTAACACAAGGCACACAGTCTGCCAGCTAAAGTCTAAGGAAATTCATTACATATATATTTCTCTATCAGTTGCCAAGTACAGTACAAGTAAGATAAATATTTCCTCTGACCACAAATTGACATCCTCATTATACTATCTTGTCCCTCTTGGCTTGCTGCTCTTTACTTTTAGCTGTATATACAATGCCTCCCAAAGGTGAAATGTGGTAAGATACATGGTTATGGAGTTAAAAAGGCTGCACGGTGCAGTACATCTACACAAATGGCAGCCTAAGAAAGCGATTCACGAGAGCTTTGCCTATGTTTGTTTGCATGTCAAAGCACTCAGCGGATGAAACTATACTGAGCTTTTCCTCATCAAAGCACTCAACACACTGTAATACACGAACAAGATACATGTGTTCAGTGTAATCCAGGGGAGGAAAAAACAAAGCAAAATCTCTTAAAAAGAGAAGGGAAAAAAAAATCAACAAATTACTAACCTAGTAGCATGAGGTGAAATGATAATAAGTGTATTTATTGCTAAAAATTACACGTATGTTTGCAGACATAAAGGAATGTGAGCAGCAGATTTTCCTTCAAAGGAAAATAAAGTATAAAGTAAATGGCTAAAATGGCTTGGTATTTTATGAACAAAGCTCAAAAATATCTTTAGAGAAAACAGTTTTATTTTTATTTCAACAATTTTAAGCAAGTTACTATAGGGGTTTTTTTTCATCTTCTTCCTGTCACTGGCAAGTTCACACTCTTAGCTTTTTATAATGATTGAGTTTATTTTCCAACCATCAATGTGACAGCAGCATCAACTGTAAGTGAGGGTAAAACACCGTCACTTTGACGAATAGTGTATTTTCCTCTCATTGTCGATGACTGAAGACATCAATAAATAAGGAAGGAGAGCATGTCAGCCAGAATATCACAGAATGAATTGTTGATATGACACTTAGGGATTAAACCTTCAGCCATGAAGTTCAACCTAGCAGAGGGGTCTGAGAACTGAGATAGTTGTGTTTCTTCCCAGCAGCCTCTATAGATAAATAATTGGACGGATCATCAATTTTACAGGAGCAGCTTTACTCTACATGCACTTTCGTTGATGATCTTTGGCCTTTTTTGGACTAAAATAACAACACAAGTTGAACAAAGAGACATAACGGAGGTAACATAATCTCACAATAAGTTTGCAAACAAAAATTGACACCTTTATCCTCTTCATATCCTCGTTCTACTCAGAAAATTCACTGATGACAATGAAACTTGATTTTTAGCTGGAAGGTCAAGACAGTCAAGCAAAAACATTATTAAATAAAGAAAATACAGACTTCTAAATGATATGAAGACATGTCTCCTCGCTTGGTTTGCAACTGAAGGTGCCTGGGACTAGGAAAAACGTAACATTAGCCCACAGCACAGCTAATTACAACCTTGATAGCATTGCTATCTGCTTGCTACCATTTTTCAAGTTTCCCCACAGTGCTGATGTTTTCCTGCCAGTTAAAACATTTGTCTATGTGGCAGATCTGTGCTTTTAGTGGAACGGTGCTGTATAGATCTTTCCAGCCTACTTATAATGCAAGTCATTGATGAAGCTACTACAGTTATGTGAAAAGGTCAGGTTTGTAAGATATACTGTAGTGCAGATGCATGAATTAAGACCAATACACAAACTGAAGGGTGTTGCCTGTTGCCAATAATGGTGTTATTTCCACAGAATCTTAACAACATCAATTATTTGGGGATTATGCCAACCTTTCAGTCATTATATATGGACAATGTTTAGTACAGTGCAGTCCCAAGTCCTGCGAAAGACTGAGTGGTGCTGTCTCTTCTAACTGAAATTCCCAAAGAGATGCATAAAATGATGTTCTAAAATTACAGCTTAACTATGGGAAGCAGAAGGGTGAATGCATTTACATCATTATTATCTATGTACTGACAGAGGGCAGGAATATTGGGTAGAGCAATTATCTCAGTCTTAAACAATGCTGTGATGGCCAGAAAAAAATAATTCTGAAAAAGTACATAATATTAACAAGCATTAACAAGCCTTAAAGGGTGACTGCTAAAATTCACAGCTCTAAATGTATTCTACCCTAAAGGGGCTTCAACAAGGTATGGAAAATCAGCCTCTTCGGTACCAAGCACTTCAATAATGCCATGTTGTGAGTCCAACACAAAAGGTGCTTAGTTCTATAAGACTGTTACCCAAAACGAAAAAAGATAACATTTCTTATCCCAAAACACTGCAATTAATTAAAAAAATGAATACACTTTCCTCAACTGAAGAAAACACACTCCCCACCCAAAACTAACAAATGCAAACTCACCTTTCCCCTTCATATGTGCACAAATTGGCACATGGTTTTCAACTTTCCAATCGAGATAAACCCAAAAGACAATGATCACTTCTAGCAATGTTTTATGCTCCCAAATACTCCCTTTATTTGGAATTTGCCTGTAACCTATATGCAGTATTTATTTGCACGTACAAATCGTAATTACTTAATACATGGCCTACAAAGCTTGGTTTCTAATACCTAAACACAAGTCAAGGACACAAAATAAGTTGTGCTTGACTGGTTTTTCTTTTCCTTTTTTTTGCCTCCAGCCAGTTAAGTATTTATTTACTTTATCAGCTAAACTGATTCTGAAAGAGCTTTTTCTAATCACTCAAGTCAATAATACTTTTTCCCTTAAGAATGACTAATATATTTACTCAAGAGATAGGAATGACACAGAATGAGCCTCTCCAGGCTTTTGGATAAACAAACATGCATTTTGAAGACAGACTCCCCATTTTTCTTTTTATATGAAAAATAAAATAATCCAACATAATTTATAAAGCACCTTTTCTCTCAAAGTGTATCCTGCATGTGTGCATATATATATATATTCATATATATATATATATATATATATATGAATATGTTTCGTAAGAGGCAGCAGATATCTTGATATGATTTAAAATATAAAAAAAAAGCTTAAAACCAACCAAATCCCAGAGAGGATACCTGGAAGTATTATTTGCTCAACCTCATCATATGTACCATGTATGCATCTGAGCTGTGTAAGTAGAGATTGGAAAAGAGAAACTAATTTACACTGGGAAAAGCAGACCATGTTAAAAATCAAGATGGCTGTTCCACAGAATCATGAAATACACTACAAAAAACCCACTGTGTGTTGATCAGGGTAGGAATGGAGAACAGTTCCACCCTGAGATCTTCACCTCTGTCTAGCAGTGCCATTTGGGGAGTGTAAGTGTGTGTTGTCTTTGCACGGAGACATCGCATGCTCTGAAGACATAGTAAAAGCTTATGGAAGATTTTCTGAGAACCACACTGACACAGGTTGGGAGTTTTTTTGTTTGTTTGTTTGTGGTTTTTTTGTTTTGTTTTGTTTTGTTTTTCTAAAAGCCACTCTGTTTTGGACAGGTTAAAAGTTTTGATTTTAGAAGACTAGGATAAATCATCAACAGCAGTTTCTGGGAAAAAAAAATGCTAGAAAACTTTAAATGCTAGCTGTTCAGAGGTGACAGCAAGCAGATTTACAAACTTGGAAAATATATGTTGCGGGAGTTGAAGAATTCAGGGCTGAGTCAAATGCCTTATGCTCCTGACAGCAGAAAGTTAATAAAGAAAGTGATGACATATCTTGAAACATAAGGACACAGGTAAAAGT